GGGGCCAAGCTCTTTTCAGTAGTGCCCAGTGACAAGACAAGGGGCAACGGGCACAAACTGAAGCAGAGGAAGTTCCAGCTGAACCCGAGGAAGAACTTCTTCCCTCTGAGGGTGACAGAGCCCTGGCCCAGGCTGCCCAGAGGGGCTGTGGAGTCTCCTTCTCTGGAGATATTCCAACCCCGGCTGGACGCGGTGCTGTGCAGCCTGCTCTGGGTGACCCTGCTTCAGCAGGGGGTTCGACTAGATGACCCACAGAGGTCCCTTCCAACCCCTGCCATGCTGGGATTCTGTGACAACATCCAACCCAGTCAAACAACCGAGCGTCTCTCTGGGAGCGCCGATTCCGTCGCACCTTTCCCCTCAGTGTTACATCAAGAGGCCCTTTAAGCCCAAGCAAAGGCAACAGCACGAAATCAGAAACAAACAGGGGAAAAAAAAAAGATAAATATTCATTTATTCTGAAGCCCCCGGAGTCACCTCCTGCAAGGAAACCACCCCCGTATCATCCGAGATGGCATCCTCAGAGAGAAGACAAAACCCACCCTGCCGACTCCCGAACGTCCGTGTAATTCCAACCCTGTCGCTACCAAGAGCGTGAGCGCACCCAGGGAATCGGCTCTGCAATATTTCCAACTGTTGTATGGGTGCCTGACTTCTCTACTTCCACCTTACAATGAGCATACTCCTTGCTGGAGATTTCATCCCTGTTTTAGGCTTTTTGACCTGCCTTTACGGCCCCCGCGGTTCAAAGACGCAACGACTCCAAACTACATCAGCGAACATCTCTAGGAGAGAGAGGAAGGCGTAAGTGAATTTCTGCAGAAGCGACGACTTGACAGATCCCATCACATCATGCTCTGCCTTGGCAATTTAGTCTCTCTCCGAGCACATTCTGTACTCGGAGTAGCCTCAGCGCTTCGGGAGGTACCAAATATAACCCAGCCCCGTTTTAACTTCCTTCCAAGAATACACGCAGTCATTTATCAAGAAGACGTGGGCTGCAGTTTCAGTTCCAACAGCTTCAGTAACATTTTGTAAAATAAAACAAAACGACTCCTTTTGTGGCAAGAAAGAAGCAGAAAATAATCTGGGTTTGAGCAAACGAGGGAGAAACCCACCTCCTCCAAATCTTCCTCACCCTTCAGCAACTCCGAGAAAAGCCTTGCCAGCTACACCAGGCTCAGCACCAACAACGGGATCAACAATCCTTCCTCCCACTGCTTTTACACCTCGAATCACCACGCCTTTGCCATTACTATTTCATTTAGCAGAGCCGGTTTGACAGCTAAATTTACTTCAAGTCCAAGTTTTGGAGTATTTTGACTTCTTTACAGACCGACGGCCAAGGAAGTCCATAAGCTCTGCTTAGAAACTACTCAAGGTTCCCTGTACGTGCCCAGAACCACTGCATGTGCTGAGTACACAAGGGTTCCCAGGCACCCCCTCGACTCTGGAGAGAGTCCAGCGCAGGGCTACGAGGATGGTGAGGGGACTGGAGCATCTCTCCCCCAGGCTGCCCAGAGGGGCTGTGGAGTCTCCTTCTCTGGAGATATTCCAACCCCGGCTGGCCACGGCGCTGTGCAGCCTGCTCTGGGTGACCCTGCTTGGGCAGGGGGTTGGGCTGGGGGATCCCCAGAGGTCCCTTCCAACCCCCACCATGCTGGGATTCCGTGTTCATCAAGAGCAAGGTCTGGGATTAACCCCACGATGCCACCAAAGCCTCCCAGAGCCCAGCACACCGGTGCAGCTCTACCAGCAAACCTCGCTCCCCCGACACCAGCATGAGAGGAGCAGCAGACGGAGAAGCTTCAGCCCCCTGCGGA